AGTGACCAGGAACACTCAAGAAGCAGTCCCCAACCTGGGGACAGCTTAAGAAACTCATACAGGATGCTGAGAAACTGCTGAGCTCCATCAGATAAGGGTTTTCAGCTGGTAGAATGTTTCTAGGCTTGTTGGCTATAATGGCTACCAAGGTACATGCAACCTCTTCAGAAAATTCAATACACCATTATTGGGCATATATCCAAAATCCTGCACTAAATAATATTATGGATTGGACTGATGCTCCTGTACCAATATATGTTAATGAATCTGGATGGCTTCCTGGGCCTTATGACACACAGGGACCATTAATTCCAGGAGAACAAAAACAGAAAATTATTCAGTGGGGACTGAAGGCCCACCTAGTTGTATGAGCCATGGAGATCATTTTTTTTTTAATTTTTTATTTATGTGTGTGTGTGTGTGTGTGTGTGTGTGTATGTGGCCAGCTCAGCCCACCAGGGGGCGGGGCTGGCTGGCATGTGGTGCTGGGGGATTGAACTGTGGTCCCTGTGCTTTGCTAAGCTTGTTCTAAGTAGGTGCTTTAGACCACTGAGCCATCTCACCAGCCCCATGGAGATCATTGATTGAAGGTTGAGCCCAAAGCTGGTTATCAACAGTCAGGAATAGTTTTACTAATTATAGTCATATATCTCTATCTTTATTTCAAGGTTGGGCTTTCAAAGGATTGGCTTTTGATGATTCTGCTCCTCCAAAATTACCACCATGCCATCAGCAGGTAACAACAAAAATGTTTGATTGGGTTTAGTGGGAGGCATATAGGTCCAAAACCAAGTTACTTAATATTTCCTATGGACGCATCTTTGATTAGTGCCCTCATGGCTCTGCTGGAGCTAAGTGTTCCATCAGGGATCCAAAATGGATTATTGTATTTCTCTGCAGTACAATAAATATTATTGAATTCATATTATTTTGTTTAGTGAAACAATATAATTCTAATGTTTTTTATTACCATTTTTAAAATTCTCTTTAAAAAATAAAAATAAAACAGAATAGAGAACAATAACATATAAGCAGACAGGCAAATGAATCTATTGTGTAGCAAGAGGGAGGTATGCCAGAACCTCAACCTAAAATAAAATATGGTCTTCCTCACTCATCTTTGTGAAGTTGATCCTTTATGTGCTTGGAAGGAAAGTAGGGGAACAACACTCAGCATTCTTTTGCTATTAATTCAACTCACTACACAAGCACATGTTAGTCTTCCTTATATTATCACAATCAGTAGGAATGCTTCTGAAGTCCTGCTTAGATGTACTAATTGTAGTTTTGATATCTGTTTAAATACTTCTATACCGGGGCTTCCGCCGCCGCCCGCCCTCCCTCGGCCCATGACCCGCCCCCGGCCCCCGCCCGCCCGGCGCGACCTCCGGTCGGCTTAGTCTAAGTGACGTGTCTGAGCCGCTGAGAGCTGAGGACCATCCAGACGCGGCGGGGCTGAGCACACGCGGACACCGAGGGCCGGGACAGCACGGATCATGGCGTTGAAGCGGATTAATAAGGAACTTAAGTGATTTGGCCCGGGACCCTCCAGCACAATGTTCTGCAGGCCCAGTTGGGGATGATATGTTCCATTGGCAAGCCACAATTATGGGACCTAATGACAGCCCATACCAAGGCGGTGTATTCTTTTTGACAATTCATTTTCCTACAGACTACCCCTTCAAACCACCTAAGGTTGCATTTACAACAAGAATTTCTCATCCAAATATTAACAGTAATGGCAGCATTTGTCTTGATATTCTAAGATCACAGTGGTCTCCTGCTTTAACTATTTCTAAAGTTCTTTTATCCATTTGTTTACTGCTGTGTGATCCAAACCCAGATGACCCCCTAGTGCCAGAGATTGCA